CTGCATCTACCGCCACCTTCAACTACAGCCACAACGGTGGGCTTCTCTGCCTACCGCGGCCGCCGGGTTCATCCACCCGGTGGACCTGACCTTGGGCGACGGCGGCGTCATGTACGTGCTGAACCGCGGTGGGCGGAGTCCGTGGGCCGCCTGGAGCTCAAGCGGGTTTGCATCCGCGCTGTCGGCGAGAGATACATTGGCGGGTAGGGCTCCGGCCTCCTCCGACCTAGTCTGCGACGCCAGTCCTAGGCTCGCTCGGCGGCAAGTTTGGCCTCATTTGCGGCAGCAATCAACCGCTCCATCATTTGCCCATCGTAGTCCCGTAAAACGTACTCGTGCCTGGTTGACCCACCGCCCGCATTGCCCGGGCCAAACATGAAGACCGCAATGTAACGTCGGCGTCGCCTCCTCATGGTCCGAATAACCCCAATTGCCCCTACACCGATTGCCACGAGGCCTAGGATTGCTACAGGAACAACCCAACCATAATCTTTCCAAGCCGTATCCGGCAGCACATACGATACGATACCTTCTCCTATTCGCTCTCCGGTCTGCTCTTCAACCGCATCTAACACTGAGTCTGCTCCGGCGGATGCAGCCATCCTAACCCCCGCGAATATGACGGCGCGTATGCATATGACCAGTGATATACCTCCGGCGAGGGCAAGGCAACCAAACAAAGCGGATACGAGCGTCGTGCGACAGCCGGCCTCCCGCTCCTCTGACAAGAACGAACTCCTTAACGTGCTTGTAGCAAATGTACTTCCCTCGCGGGTGATGAATCGGTTCTGCGAGATGTAAACGTCGGCTTCGTCGAAGAATACCCTCTCCATGTTCTGCGCCATTTAGAGCACCTCCAAACAAACCCCGAGAGACCGCGACTGTTGGGTTAGACTCTACGAGCTGGCAGGTTATATTATGACCATGGTTACCACAACTTTCACCTACAGCCACACGGTGGGCTTTCTGGCCTACCGCGGCCGCGGGTTCATCCACCCGGTGGACCTGACCTTGGGCGACGGCGGCGTCATGTACGTGCTGAACCGCGGTGGGGCGGAGTCCGTGGGCCGCCTGGAGCTCAAGCGGGTTTGCGTCTGCACGGCAGACGAGGGGTATATCGGCGAGTGGGGCACCGGCGGCACCGAAGACGGCCAGTTCTGGTGGCCCTCCGGTATCGTGCGTGACCCTGAAGGTCTGCTCTACGTAACTGACGAGGCGCTGCAACGCGTGAATGTTTACGGTCCCGAAGGCGAATTCATCCGCCGTTGGGGCGAAACCGGCGACGGGCCCGGCCAGATCAATCGCCCGGCCGACATTGCCCTCGCGCCCGACGGGTCGCTGCTGATCAGCGACGGCATGAACCACCGCATCCAGCGCTTCACCGTGGACGGCGAATACCTGGG